TTCATCTTTAGCGAACTTATTATGTATAACAATGACATGAAATCCAGCTTGATGACGAAGATCATTTAATTTTCCAACAAAATCAATATCACCAGAAATCAAAACAATAGTAGCAGGTGGACGATGAACACGTTCAAAACGATCTAATTCAAGCATGATTTGTCGATCAACAGCACCTGGTTTTCGATCAGGTACATGAATAATACGAACATTTGCATGATGTAAACTTTGTTGATTATCTTGTGATATTGTATTTATATTACAAAAACAAGAAAAAGCAGCTTCTTGTAAACCAGATTCAACAACTAATTTTTGTCGAATACGTTGGACAATATCAAAAGGTTTTTGTCCTTTAGGTATAGGAACATTTTCAATATCCCAAAAGAAACTTACAAAATCTTTTTCTCGTAACATAGATTTTTGTATTTTAGATGGTTTTCTTGTATGTCGATAAGGACAATCTATATTACGACATGTATGCGGCCAATTGGAACATTCTTCTAGTTGCTTCACAGCTGTTTGACAATGACGATAACGACATTTCTTTTTGAACATACAATCTCCATTTGTAAAATAGATACAATCTGTAAGTGGAAGTAAAGTTGAATATTCGCGATCAACAGTAGCCATGCAACTCAATAAAGACCTGAAAATATCACAAAAAGAATATAAAATGCGTTGATATAAATATATATGTGAGATATTGTATTATGATTGTAAAAATTTTTCTAAATCAAAAATGGGACAGCACGATTTTTAGAAGAGTTTATAATGTACATTATACATGTAAAATGAAACCATTGGAAATATTTCCTTTGTGTTGAAAGATTTAGTTGAAATTTTTTTTGTCGTATGATTGCGATTTGTTGTTGTTTTAACTATACATCATGGATTATTATTATTGTGGCGCAGTCATTTTCAAACCAAAACGTGATATTTGATTTGAATTTTATGAAAAAAAAACAATATTAGAGAAACAAATACAAGCAGCTGAAGTAGTGTTAAAAGAAAGAAAGAAAAAGGAGTGGAGATTTATTTTGTTTATGTAGAAAGTAAAAGAACAAGAACATGTCAAATTGTCTTGAAAATAAAGGACAATGTTGTTTTTGTATTCAAATAACAGAATGATTATGGAAGTTTTCAAGAAACACAAGACAGTCAATCTCTGCATTATAGACTAAATATGATTTTTAAACGTTAACTATTGTTCATTAAAATTTCTTAGATTTATATATTACTAAAGTCTATAAATATATAAATAATAAACTAGAATAGTGGTGACACCTTTTATATTTACTTTATTGAGTAAAGATAAAATGTCATCCCCTAACTGGAGAGGAGAGTTGTACGAAATTTCGAACGATGATGAATTCAAAGACAAAATGAAAGATTTTACTAATATTGCGCAATGATTTGAAATAAATTCATTAAAGATGATAAATCTTAGTCCACAATAATTTCTTCATCAGTATCCATGTCGCATATTTCTCCGCAGTATCAACAGTATACCCAGGTACTCATAAGAACTGGCGGTATACCGACAATTTGCTGATGATAGCGCTTACAACTTTCGGTTCTAGTTGTAAACGACTCCAGAGACTGTTTTCTATCCAAATTCGAATTTATTATTAGAAAGAGTTTAAAATTAATCGAGAAGTAAACCGTTTCAAAGTATATTTTACTAATAAACATTTTTTGCAGCGTCATCTATAATAAAAATCTTATTTAATAACTGGAATCGATTTGGGCTCTATGGCTAGTACAGGCAACCCAGGCGCATCGACATTATCAGAATGCGGCAGAATCGACTCAATTATATCAATTTTAACAAACTTCAAAAATATTCACCCGTTAGATACACTACACTATGATGCAACACTGTCAGATAAAACTACCAGTATAGCGCACATTATACCGAACGGTCAACCGGTGGTTTTTCTCCGGTTTGAATCACATGAGTGTTCAAAATTTTTCGTATGACGAAAGATGTACATAGTAACATATTTCTAATCATAATGTCTAGTTCACATTCAAATTGTATACCTATGGAAGTAAGTGTCAATCATATTTTTTATATTTATAGCAACTGCATGTTAGACACAATAGAGATAAGAGAATTTGTCATCCATTTGGTTAACGTGTCGACAAACATGTCAGTTGATTTTACTTGTTTCTCTATAAATACACATTGATATAAGAAAACTTTTTAATATTTTATTCAATCCATCAATAATGTCAGCAAAAAACTATTGAATTTTTTTGAATCAACATTGTTTTGATATATTCTATAACTTGAAAAAATTTTCTTGATATAGATTCTTAAAAGTGACAGATGATTATAAAATGAATACACGTCACAGTAGTATTTCATAGTTTTCTTTTTGTTTTAAATAATAAGAAAAGCTAAATTATTTATTTTTCCCTAAAGAAATTTGCATCTATTGATAAGAAAAAATTCAGAGATATTGTCGATTTTTTTTAAAAATATTAACATATGTGCAGAGGTTAAAAAGAATAATACATTCTAAAAATTGATATCTGAGCAAAATTATTCGTTAGTGACGTGACTTCACAAGACACATGTATCTCGAGATAATGAATTTTTCTAGAGTGAATTTTAAAATGTTACATGTATGTTAATTTACTCTAGATAGTCTAAAACAACCAGCACTGGAAAACTTTAGTCAAAGGAGTTATCAGTAAAAAATTAGCATTAACAAGGTGATACAAAAAGACACATCGACTGTCATTTGTTATACACTTTATGTAGACAATTTTTGACACTACAAAATCTATATTCAAGATTTTTTCTGGAACATGCTGAGATTTTTCAAATAAGATCAATTTACTTTTCTTTAACGACGTGATGGAGTAGGAATATACAATTGAAAAAAAATCTTCTCATAACCAAATGAAAAATTCAAAACTAATTTCAAAAAGTACAAGTCGTTCTTCATCATCTCTAGATGATGGGACGACAAAAATTTTTTGCTTTGGGGCTTCATAAGAATCTATAGTATATGGAATTTGAAGAGAGAGTTTTTTTTTTCGAGTTCGATCATACAGAAAATTTCATCATAGATGTAGTTCATACCATAAAGTTCATCCTGAATTTTTCAGATTTGTTTTTGTATGGTTAGAGAGAGATAGTCTCAAATTACGTTTTAATTTATAATCAACTGGAAGAGCCAACATCTTTATTACGTATGTCTAGCAGATTAATGATGTGACTTGCAAGAATATTTAAATAAGATGATATTTTCACATATCAAAAAATAAAATAAACGAAAATAAAATCCGAATAAATCATTTGAGTCACTTCACAAATACCATTTGAATTTTTTAATATTCTCTGTCAACAATAAAATTTTCTTCAATAATGAACCTCATCTATTATGTGTCGTGTTTCAATGTATCAACTTAATGAAAAAAATTTTTAAATAGCTATCATCATATATATATATATATATAAATTAATATATAGTAGTTCCTGTTTACAGAATTCCTCACGATTAAATCGGACTCTTTTCAGGATGTATTCAAATTCCTGTGCAGACTTTTTCTAAAGAAGATCAAAAAAAATGTTAACCTTTCTTCTCTCTATCTACTATGTATTTTTACAATAAGCATACAAACAAGTTGATATCATTTGTGTATATCAGTTATCCCCAATTCAATTTTCATAATTATCATCTTTTGATTTTCAATCACAAAATCTCTGCTTTTTTTAAAAATCTATACAAAGACTATTTTAATAGTAATGGTTTACTTTAGAAAAAAAAATATTTTGATTTTTCACTGGTTTCGAATACTATTTCAATCTGCTGAATCCAATCAATTGATAAAGTCTCTATGAATTCCAGTACTAGCTGAAGTATACCTTCGATGAATCTGTGAGATCAGTAACTAATCGTTTGTCGACACCTCTTCGAAGCGTCATTGACCTCTAGTCGCTCCCATGTTTATATCTACCTCCTCAACTGATCATTCTCTTCCATTTACAATCTAGTCGATTCACATCTGACTTCTTGTGAAAAATTGTTGAACTTACAAAAGAAGAGTTCGCAATCGATAATTTCAAACATTAGACTTCGTTGTGAATTAATTTTTCAATCTTTCTGAAAAATTGGTATTATATTAAAGTTCTTCATTCATGAAATCTTGAAGAAGTTTTCTTGAAAAATAGAAATCGCTACTGTCATAAAAATAACCTGCCCTTCACGAAAGAATCATATTCAGAAATTTCTCGTTATTTGATATTTGATAACAGTAACTTTTCATCTCTAATCAACTCCAATTCTGATCAGTTCTATTGAAATAAATAGTGATTATTAATGTACGCTATCTATCGTATTATTTCATATTCCCATTTATTTGTGTGTTTATTGACCTTCACATTAACGCATGTATACATACACCAAGTATACATGAGGACAGCTAGTCAAGCCATCTACTCGTACGCAACGAAGGAGAAAAAAAAGTGTAACATGTCCTTCACTTTAAGAGCAAACGATAGAGGAGAGAACAGATAAAAACCTACTGTTTACATTTACGATGCATAAAAATGGGGCTTCTATGTCGTGGCATTATGAAATAATCAAGACTTTTGGCATACTTGTATCGGTTGCTGCTAGTCTTATCTGGTTTGCTACTATAATTGCACTGTTTGCTTTATGGGCTCGGGATAGTTTTCCTCAATATCAACCAGGTGATGGTGAAGTGGTATATATCTCTAATGTAGGTGCCGTATACAAACCGGTATTTATAGTAGGCGCAGTTCTTACAGGAACATTTTACATTTTAACGATTATCTTCATAAATATTTGGTATGATCCAATAACTTCTTGGAAACGCAAACGCGTCATTTCTTTCTTCTTGATTCTGTTTGCTATCATCGCCGGTGTATCTTTGATGCTGTTGGCTATTTTCGATTCAATCAGACATAGTGGTGCTCACTACACCTTTACTGGCATATTCTTGGAGTGTAGTATTCTTACGGCTGTTCTCACCGTTTTCTATCGATTTACACGATATCGAATCAATTATGTCATTGTCACTCTGGCATGTTTCATAAGCGTTGTTGTTCCGCTTGTTATTACTCTGGTGGTCCTTGGTTTGGTGGGTGGACGTTTCCATAGACAAAATCTTAAATCAGTTGCTGCGTCAATGGAATGGACTGTGGCTATTTTGTTCGGAGTATATTTTATTGCCTATGCTCTCGATCTGATATTCTACGATCGATGAAAAACATATGTTTAGATGTGATGTCGAATAAAAGCAATAGATATGTAGAAAATCGATTTCTTGGTTAATGAAAATAATAAAAAATTAGTCTTGCTACATGAATTCCCAGCAACTTTATATATGTTGCAAAACAAACCACGTCGGTTGACAATATTTCATATGTTCAGATATTACTTGAATAATGAATCTGTGCAGTTTTTAAATAAGTATTCTAGTTTATGTCTGTCATTTCGTTCCGTACTAAATAGTGTGCAAGCGACAGATTTAATTCAAAGCTAGGATGTAAAATGAAATAAGAGTTTTCATAGATGGATTACTTATCATCAACATTTCATATCATTAGTCTATAGAATCATATAGATTATGCAACAATAGAATACTCTAGT